TTTTTTCCTTTACAGGAGAATCCATTTTTAAAGTTTGTTGATCCATTTTTAAAAGGTTGTTCACAACCCCTTCATATTTTCTTGAGACACTTTTGGGTCACACCAAATGCAGTTTTAAAAAAGGAACAGATTGGTGATGGGGTGAAGTCACAAGATCAGTTTAACTGGCATGGCCTCGCCTTTTTGAGGATCAGCTTTACTCCAACATGAACCAGACTGGCAGGGATGGCTGCTCAGACCAACAGGTGGGTCTACACTTGTGTGCCACTTCTAAAACGGGCAGCAGCAGGGGAGATTTAGGCTGGAGATTAGAAGGAACTTTCTGACTATGAGGGTTGTCAAGCATTGGAACAGGCTACTTTAGAGAAGCTGTAGCATCTCTATCCCTGGAACCTTTTGAAAGCAGTTGAACAGACTTGCCTGGGATGGGTTAGTCACAAACGATCCTGAATTGAGCAGGATGTTGGACTAGATGACCTCATGTGGTCCTTTCCAGCCCTAGTTTCCTCCAATCCTAAATGTGACTTGGGTAAACCACACTACAGGTTTCACAAGGCCTAAAAACACAGACTCTGCTAGCCACAAATTGGTCAAAGCTGATAGCCAACAGGCTCAGAATCACTGCCAGGCCACCCTCCAGATCAGCTCACTCTTAGGAAAAGGCTGCAAGCCCTCTTGCTTCTATACCTTTGAATGCTGTCAACAATCCTTATGAGCCTGAGGACTCGCAGTATGAAGACAATATCCAACACCTGCTGACCGTTGTATTTACTTGCTGAGTAAGAAAAATAATCAGGTTTTAATATACTCTTAATTGATAAAGCTTTTTTGTCTGCTTAAGACAGAAATGTAAAAACTCTGGCATTCGGAGCTGCGCCAGGTGGCTAAAAACGTTGTTCAGACCTTCCTACTGTGAACAACCCAGCATCACAAGGAAGTTTGCTCATTTCTAGTACTGCCCCCATCTCCCCCCCACCACACCACAGAACCTCCATTAGAAACATGTATACTTATGGGTCTGAAGGTATATTACAAATAAGGTAAAATTGAAGGTTATCTCCTCAGTGGTCCACGCAACATAAGAGGTAGGATTTACATTAAATGGATACCTTTCATTGTTGATGCATAGCTAGCTTATATCTGTTATAGTACTTTTGGTCTAAAAATATGAATTCCATTATTTATTATACTTCACCCCCCTCCCCATATCACAAACCCACAACAAATCTTGTTACCAAAATAGGTATTGTGCGCTTACAGCCATGTTGAAAGCCTCTGAATTTCAGGCATCTGTCAACTAGATATAACCTACTCAGATCAGACAAATAGGAAAGCAATGCTGAGCTTACTTGATTTGAATGCAGCATTGAGTATTGTAGCTACCAGAGCAGCAATGATGATTAAGGTGTCAAACCTAGTAGAGAAAAGCATGGTTCTATTAAAAATCGTCATCACAGTCCTTTTGCTACCATACACAGTAGGCTAGTGATACACACAACACTTGGAATCCTGAAAAACGTTTAGACATAGGCTTATAAATGCTAATGTGCACTTGAATGTGGAGCTGGACCAAAAATGCAAACATGGATTTTGCCAGACTAGATCCATGAAACTTTTGCAAGAGGATTCCAAATGAAAACTAGTTGTTTTCTGTTGCACATTACCTTTCAGATGTGTTAAGTCCTCTTAAGAACAGGAACATCAGCACATTAGGGTGGGATAACAAACTAAATGCCCTCTGAGCATCTCAGAGTTCTCTTGCAGCAAGAATTCTCTCTAGCTCATCTTGAGCAGCCCATTTTGCAGACATGTCAGACTACTATACAGGGCCAAAGGTGAGTGGGAAGTGGTCCAGCAGCATCCCAGGAAGCACTGCTCCCAGCCTTCCCCACTTGGGCACTCTATTCTGTCCCCGAGTGACAGTGCAGAGAGCCAGCGGCCAGAGAAACCCTAAAAGTAAGGATCCCCAACCCTTGCCACACACAGTCCTTTCCCCTCTGCTTCTATTCTGGACTCCCTCCTTTACCCGCTGCTTACCTGGCTTGCTGGCGTGATATTGGGGGAGCAGCTGGGGAAGGGGAATCCACCCATCCACCAATACTCTCTGGGTTGAGCTCAGCCCAGACAGTGGCAGAAGCAGGTGGGCATATTCCCCTTCCTTGCTTGCTTGTTCCTCTGAGACAATGCTAGCAACCACAGGTGAGCAGGGTGCAGGTGGGATGGGAGAAAGACAAGAGGGGGGAGCAACAAGTGGAGTAGAGACCTGATCCAGGCTGGCAGGGGATAATGCAAACCCAGTCCAGGCTGGTGCACACTTAAGCCTGGAACATATCCTGTCCTAGAGAGCAAGCAAACTGGGCAGGCATGGAGCAGACTTGGCAGCTCTTAGCCACATACCTGTAGCCTGCAACTGCTCACAGCATGTAGCCTGCAACTGCTCACAGCATGTGCTCTCTTTAAAAGTAACTTAGTATTCCTTTGGCTCGCATATGCTAACTGTAACATGTAACTGCATCTTAGGTCTTTTCAAACAACAAACTCCTCCCAGCCCCCCCAGTCAGTTCCATTGCACTCCACATTCCTAATGCAGCTAAGAGAGCCACACACCACAACTAAGAACCCTACTTACCAGTTCCAAAACTGGTTCTTTGCAAAGAATGTCCTGGGTTCATAAGTATACAGCTTCAAGAGTATCTCAGTGATATACAGAGAAAGGAAAGCCCACTCTGCGTACGAAATCAGTGGGTTTTCCTCATCCAAGGCAATGAATATAGCATTTATTAAAATGATCACATCATAAGTCCAAACAAATCTCCTGCAAGAAAAAAAAGCCAACCTTTTATATGCAAATGACAGAAAAATTCATAGTTCAAAGAACATTTTTCTCCCTCACTGACAACCACCCCCCACTTACTCATCAAGGCAGCTTTGCCAACCAGTCATTTTTTCAATTTCAGTATTTTCTACAACTGTGTATTTAGGAGAGTTCTCATGACTGTCTTACACTTGAAATCTTCTACTGAAATATGTGCTCAAGTCACAGTGAACAACAGTGCTCATTTCTGACCGTAGGAAAATACATTTCTCAGATACTAGTAATAATTCAGCTGGCATCAAATCAAAGCCAGCTGGCAGTACTGATAAGAAGGTGAGAGTAGAAGAGGAGAAACCAGAAACTAGTGAAATGGTGGGTTATAAAGAATACCAAGCCCTAAATTAGCTCTTAGCACCAGCTGAATGAGTCAGTGAAATGGAAGAAACCGCCTATTGCTATAGACATTACTGAGTTACTGTAAGTTTCACATAGCACTTAAGTCCAAGGATGGAAAGGAACAGCTAGGTTTTTGTGGGTCTAAATATTCAGTTTGTCTGAAAACTCATGTACCAGCCACCTCTAACCAACATCTGCTCAGTTGTCGCCCAAGCAGTGAAAGAACTGAATGGTGCTTTTTGGGAAATTTCTGGTGGGCTCAGCATTGTGCAGCCTCTTGTATTCATGTTAGAGGCAACACACTCCCAGCAACTTGAGCAGGAGGAAAAATTTAGGCCAAGACTTTTGAAAGAGCATATGCAGCACATTCACTTGTGCAGTGTTGGACTATTCCAGTCTGTTGCCAAAAGGAACACTTGCCTGGAAAGAATTACCAGTTTGCAACATATTTAATACTGGAGGCTGCCTGTTGAGAGAGCAGAGACACCTACTTGTGTCTAACCATGCTGCGCAGAAATCTGCTTGCTGCAGAGTTATAGACATGGGGCAACCAATGCTCCAGAGGATGGCTTCGGATTTTCATTGTGATCACCTGGATGTTCAGAAGGTCTGCCAGACGCACAAATGACTTTTTGTCTGCAACAGTCAAGGATGCTACATGTTACTATTTAGAATGCAAGTCCCTTAGGAGTTCACATTAGCAGAAATTTGCACAAGCAGCCTGGATAACAGCAGGTCCAGTTTTGCAAGGGCAAGGGACCAGCCAAGTAGATGCTTAGGATTCAATTTCCTTAGTAGTACTTCAGAAACAAAATATAACAATTCTATTGTTTAAGCAAGAAGAGCTACCCTGCCCCCTCACCCCTAGAACCTTCCACACACCAAGTGTGATTTCATACAGTTTTCAGTTTGTTCCTACTCACCCACATAACCTTTCTGCTCATCATCTGAGATTCTCAGCAAGAGCTCTCGATGGGAAGTGCTGATCTCTGGGGCCACTAGCTTGACTACCTGCTTCCACTGGGATTCTTTAACAACAAATTCTGAGCCTTCCTTGACCTTCAGGATGTTGAAGGCTTCTACCATCTTGTGACGCTTCATGTAGGCAAGTTTACGAATCTCATTCTGGAGAGGACAAAAGGAGTTTAAAAGGTCTCACTTCTTAATTCTCCTCTATCCATCACTTTTGTCCATCTTAAAGTTCATATCTACAATTCTTTGCCATGGAATCTAGAACAGAACCTACAGGGAAAACGCACTAAAAAAATAAAACAAATGGTCAAGAAGGTCACTGTGCAACCAGAGGAGCAGAGAAGGACTTGTCTAATGTGACCCACCTGCTCTGCTGCAACTGCAGATAGAAGGTCACCAGGTGCCTCCTGCCTTACTCTCCCCTAATGAATTGCACCTGTCCCCAATTTCTGCTCAGTCTATCCTGGCAGGATGCACTGGCAGCAATTCTGTCCTATAGATCAGATCTTGCAAGACTGAAAAAAACAAAAGTGGCTTACCCTGGGCCTTGGATCACAATACATGATAAAGACAAGGCACACTGATGCATAAAGAACAGTATGGAGGGATGAGTTGCATGGTTTTGCCACACACTAGGAGGGCTCTCATACTAGAATAGTAAAGAGCAGGAATTAGTTTAAATATCACAAATGGTAACAACTTCCTCAATTTCAGTGGCACAGAATGGAGTTAGCTATCCCCAAGAACCTGAACCCTATGATCAGAAAAGGCAACCACAGCTTTCATGATGAATCTTGTGTCCTGCTTCCATTAGGAGGCTGTCTCCCAGAGCTCAAAACAGGGTCAGCTTTATGTAATAGCACTTCCAGTTTAAGCCTGCACCATCTGGTGTCATGTTGACACTTAGAATTGTAGAAAATTAGGGTTGGAAGGGACCTCAGGAGGTCATTTAGTCCAACCCCCTGCTCAAAGCAGGACCATCCCAGCCAAAGCTTTGTTTAGTCAGGTCTTAAAAACCTCCAGGGATGGAGAATCCACAACCTCTCTGGGTAACTTGTGGTAGTGTTTACTACCCTCTTAGTTAGAAAGTTTTTCCTAATATCTAACCTAAACTTTGCTTGCTGGAACTTGAGACCACTGTTCCTTGTTCTGTCATTTGCTACCACTAAGAGCAGTCTAGCTCCATCTTTAGGTAATTGAAGGCTACAATTAAATCCATGCTCAGTCTTCTCTTCTCTTCTCCAGAAGAAGCCTAGTTCTCTCAGCAGTTCCTCATAAGACATGTGCCTCAGTCCCCTAACCATTTTGACCAGCAGAGAACCATTAAAAATGTGAAGAGGTCAATAAAATCCAATGTGTTCCCATCCTACATGGACAAGCTGTAGTTTGTTATTTCTGGATCAGGAGATGTGCTTCCCTAGCTTTTACCTTTAAGTGTTTTCTGTAATTGTTGTACACAACAGCCAGGAAGACAGACATGAAGATGTAGGTGTTGATTATAACATAGGTGATGAAAAACAGGGAGTACCACCAACTGAAGTCAAATGCTGGCATCCTAGAGAAAAAGGGGGAGAGTGCCTTTAAATCACTTTTGCAGCAGACAACAAGCACATAGATGAATTCACAGTCATCATCTTAACTGCTGTAATCCTGTTTCAAACAGGCTTTGAGAAGTCACATTCCCCTCTAGACAGCTGAAAGCAGACAAATGAAACAATTATAGAGATAAGATACGCGCACTCGGAAAGAGAAGCCACAGTCTGTTTGCCCTGTAACCAGTCTGTAGCACTGAGAGGCAACCTCTGCTAGTCATGGACCAGAACGACCCATCTCAGGTCGGAAGCAGATCAGCACTTCTCCCCACAACAATATGGGGAGAAGCACCCAGGTCAAAGCCTTCACCTAAAGCTGTCCCACATTTGTGATCTGGATCCAGTGGTTCTGCAGGCCAGATATGGCCTGTGGGCAATAGGTTGCCGACCACTGGTTTATAGTGATCTGAAACTACACAGCTCCACAACAAGGTTTTCAAAATTCCCCACCTATCTGCTCTACACACAGAGCCTTCTCACTGAAGCTAGCAGCATCTGGAGCTAAGCTGAAATTGCTCAGTACAGCCAGAGCTCAAACTAGTAGAAATGTGATTAAGTGCACAGTTGGCAAAGGGACAAATTTATCTTTGTGGCAGACCCAAAAGTCACCTGAATGACTATCAGCCTGGCTCCAGGGACAAACTTCTACTTTCTGTGTAAAAAAGAGTTTGGCATCACATTGATAAGAATGTGTTAATTGGAGTCTATTGAGTCCCATTCATAGAATATTAATATCAAATCAAAAAAGGGATCAAAATAATGGCTTTAACTGGAAGTGTAACATGAGTGCATTTAAATTCTATCAAACAGTTTAATGCAGCTTTTGGCTGGGACTACAGAAACACTACTGATAGGTCAGTTTTACAATTCAAGTCATTCCTTATTTGAAGCTTAGTTTAAGCCCTCATTTGTTGCTGGATTAGCTGGTAAGTAGGATTTTTGGGGGCATACCCAGCTGCCCTGCCTTTCTAGTCAATTTCCTTTTAGTTGTTTACTACAATGTGTGCCTGAACCATTTGATATGTGCAGCTCTGGCATACAAATAAGTTCAAAAGTTGACATCAGATCACCCAGCTGAGTGAATCACAGTGCAACTGAAAACCCTATCAGGATACACAAGAGGCAGCATTGTGTGGCCAAGAAAGTATTCAAGTGGCATTTCCTGAGGTGTGGTGGTTTAAACTGACCAATTTAAAATGTTGCATTAAGAGATCTTTCCACAGGCTGCAACTGTACCTACAAAGCACAAGACTGAACACAGTTTTAAAGCATGCCAGCATCAGTCTGTAACATCATTGCACGAGAAGCCTCAGAAAGAATACTCTTGGAGTCAAATTGCTCTTAATGTGCCACTGCCTCCTCCCTTCACTAAAAATGAAGATAAGTTATGCAACCCAGCACACACTAGTACTTCACCATGTGTACTATATGAATAGAGATGTACTGGTTTCCTAGCTTTTACAATCTCCAAGTTAAAGAAGCCTAAAAGGAAGGCAGGGGAAAGGGGTAGAGGGAGAAAACCAATATGCTGCTTTAAGGTAATCTTTCCATCAACTGCAGAAAGGCTTTGGATCCTACACCAGGCTGCTCATACTGTTTTATGCTCATGGTGAGGTCTTATTTATTTATTTTTTTACTGCCACTAAGTGCATCAGTGCAGTGGGATATTCTAGTTCTGGCCTCAGGAGTGCTTTGAAGGCTGGGTCACTGCCAGAGTGCAGGGTACGTACATGACATCAGGGCTGTTAGCTGTGGTTACCAGCACATACAGGTCAAATACAATTTCTAGGTAGTTTGTGAAATACGGGGATCCTTCCACCGTCTGGAGATTCCTAAAGAGAAAGAAGCAGCAGGAAGTTACATATTGACATCAGGTGACTGATACACAGGCTGTGCAAAGGCTGGTGGGGCTGCCATTCACTTCAGACTACAGGCACCTAGCTTTGATTTTTTTTAAGAGCATCAAGCCACCACTGACTTGAGGAATGAGCAGTCTGGCAATAGCTAAGCACTGTTCCCCATTCTCACACATTTGATCTGCTGGATTTGGGGCTGCCCTGTTTCAAACCCACACTGAACTGCAACAAGGAGAGTACTCTCACCTGTCACCAAATAACTTCAGAGCCATGAGAGAAAACATGAGGACGCTGAACATGAAGAGCAGGAAGACATACGTGATCTCTGGCAGTGTGTTCCGGATGCTACGGAATGCTCTCCGCATCTGCCAAGACATAAGCCACAAGAAGCATAACAAGGGGCGAGTTAGCGGGGCATGAACCTTGGGCACCATCTTACATGGCACATCAGAATGGTGGCAGGGTACAAGGACACTACTGCTGCTGTAGCAGTAAACGCAGACTGTGCTGTAGCAGCAGTAGCCAGGGACTTTAAGTTCCCGGGGCAGGTAAGACCCCTCTCCCTACCCGACGTCACCAGCAAGGTTTTGCTCGGGATGCAGATCTTGCTAGTTATGCTTCTGCAAGCCACCCTGAGAAACAAAGCAATACAAGCTTCCCCTTCCCTTCCAGGCCTCCATGCCAGAGTCAGCCACCCCATAGTGATAGACGGGCAGCACAGAACCCAGGAGCTACCATTGCTGGTCCATGCTGACAGAACTTGACAAGTAATGCTGAGTCAGTTGGGCAATCTTGGTTATCAGCCTGACATTTTACCCTGAAAAGGCACCACCTTGCTACCAGATTCTCTGTACTGTAATTTTCTTTGTTACCTCTTACACTGAGAGTTTCTGTGCCCGTGATGGATTTCCACAACTACAATGACCCTAGTCTGAAGACAGGCTGAGAACTCCAAGAAGCACACACCATCTCATTCATTTCAGCAGGCTGATTACCCAGAGACAGGAATTTAGACTCAACAGCAAAAGAAACAGTGAACAAATCAAAGCATTCTAGAAAGGAGAGGCAGCCATGCTACAAAGACTTGCAGTCTGTTGTTAGGGTGTCAGAGTGTCTCTATAGCCAGAAAGATGCAAGGTCAGACACAAGTTTCAGATTGTGAATTTCAGCAGCACAGAAGCCTGAGCTCATTTATCTAGTTTAAAAAGCATTCTTGCTCCCCCTCCTCCTGTTTTCTATCTTTATCCAGAAGCCAGTACTCAGGCAGAATGGAGTCCAAGCATCCTGAGTATGCTTTATCAGCATGCAGTAGTTAGCAAGCCTCCTTCACTCAGTCCCCTCCCCCAACGCATAGCAAGTGTTCTTCACCAAACACTGAATGGTAGCATTTGAATTATCGTGACCTACTTAAACTCATTTGTTACAGTCAATCCAGAACAGGCTGACCCAGATCATGGATTCCAGTCAGCCCAAGACAAATGGGATGAAAGATTACAGGGTTAAGCAAGCCACTCCTACAAATTGTCCATAGGGAAACAAGGGACCACACATAGAGGATTCCAGTCTTGTTGCTTGCCACTTGCTAACAGGTACCTTGAAGCATGGAGAAGGCTCCAGGTCAAGAACAAAAGCAAAAGAAAGGGACTGCCAACCCAACACTTCCAAGGGGACCATGGACTGGGCTGCACTGCAGTGTTACCCATCCAAGTTCCAAAGCCCCATAACACCACAGCAGGTAAGCACAGATGCTCTGTGGCTGAAGCAGCAGCTAACAGGTCAACAAGCCACTTGTTCTGCTTTGTGAGGAGATGTATTTTCTTGACACACCTGCTCTCCCCCATTCTGTCAGAGGTCACCCCCAGTGCATCATCTTGGCAACTGCCTCCACAGCTATGTACTCCTTACTTCGCAACTTGGGAGTTGCAGTCAGGGTTAAGCCTTAGCAACCCTCCATCCCCTGGCAGGCATGGCCTGGATGCCTCCCACTGATAAACACCCCCCAAGGGAATGCTTGGATTCCATTCTCCCCCAGTTCCACATATACACAGATTGATCATAGGGAATTTCAGAAGAGGCAAAACTTAGACAATAAAACAGCTGCTCCAGAAGCTTCAATGAAGCTGAAAACCACTGGAGCCAGTTTTCTCCTCACAGGAAAGGAGGAGAATGAATTCGCACAGAGACAGGGTTGCCTTGGGCAGCAGATGCAATGATTCAGACTTCTGCTTACAGAGATAAGAGGCCAAAGTCTCGGTTATGTCTGAGGAGAGTACAATTATAGATTGAGCTGTGCTCATCTTCCTCGAAGGAGTCTAGGACAGTTTGGCAAGCAAGTGAGGCTGCAGAACAGGTAAGAGCCACAGGATGATACTTGCACAGGGTTTGGAGAGAACAGCTGGGGTGTGAACTTCATTAAGAATCAGGACCAACAAGAAGAATGGTCCAAAAGTGTCTAGAGTCTATCCTGAATCTTGTTGATCCCATTCCCAAAAGCCAGCAAGAATTCAGTATGTGACCACATGGATGGCAAAACAAGCAGAGAAGGATTTTCATTACTGATAATCCAATGATGCAAACAAAGGCATTGACTTCACAGACTCACTGGACTCTGGACAACATTGCACCCAGATAATTCATTGTATTGTAGAGTTTAGATAAATAAATAAAATAAAAATCTCCCCATGAAATTCTATAGTAAGTTACACTGGTGTATCATTTGTCTGTAGGGTTGACTTGCATTTAATTCCAGGGTAGCCCTTTGATCAGAGCAAACAGGCTCCCCCATCCCCAGTGTGGCAAGGCTCTGTAGGAAGCCCCAGCTGCAAAGAGCCACTTAAGGAAAGCTGGCTATGTGTTTGTTCCGTACAGCAATGTAATTTCACTCAAAGTAAAATGAGGTATATTATTCTGGGATAAGAGGTGTTGTGTATCCACACCAGAGAGGGTATTGTGGCTCATTTTTTGTGATCTGGACACAAAGAAAGTTACCAGCAGTGCTCGATGGCTTCTGTTATTCCAAAGCCTTACAATTTACTTCCTGCAGGACTGAGTCAGTTTCTCCAGACATGGCTGGCCAGACATCTCCACTCACTTAGCAGGAAAGAAATCCTATTGATGGGATGCACTATTCTGCACTGTCACAGCCCAGAACATGTAGGTTTATTCTATACTATGTGCATGCTCTGCCTAAGCCAGGCAGCGAGAGCTGCATCCTATGAAAAGAATAACTTCAACATGACAGCAAAGCTCTAGGAGTACTTCAAATCTGCACCTAGGGCACACACTGGGAAAGTCTCACTCTGAACAACCAAGAGAGTATATCTGGTTCAAAGGGAAAGGTATTGACAGCTGCAATATGAGCTCACATATCTGTATCCCATTTTGTCAAATGCTCCAATTCAGAGAGAACAATCTGCAGCTTACAAAAATCCAATACAGGTACATTTGTATGATGACAAAGTACTGCTTACCTGGCGACTCTCTGTAAAGTTTACTAAGAAGATGGGCCTCATGATCCTTGAGTATCTGACACTGGTTATGTTGCAGATTTTAAGAGTCCCATGGATAATCAGGTCAGTTAAGGTCACCTGTGGAAAAAAGTACAATTCACAGAAAATTACTTAGGGCTTGTGTACCTGGGGAAACTGACTGAAATTGTTCTAAGAAGTGTCCATGCAAGGAGGTATTCCAGAAAAGCTGTAGCTACTTGAAGTCTACAGCTGACCCTGATCTGAGATAGCTTTCCTGTATAGACAGCCTTAAGCACTTAAGCCTTAACACCAACTCATAAAAAGCATCTCTTGTAGTGGGTGGGGTTTCAGTAAGTTCAACTGTGTTATTACAGGAAATATTTCAAATCACTTCCAAAAGAACAATGTAAACAAGGCCACCCTATCTTGCTACATTTTCTTATCCTGAGTTTCAGCAACTAGGCCCAGTTTGTCATGCTATGACCCAAAATTTAACCTTGAAAAGGAAGGGGCATGTCCGTGCCATACAGATGATAGCTATGTACAGTCAAAGCCAGCCCCACCATTTTCATGCTGCCATGAACTCTTTGTGCCCATGAACACAGAAATAGGAAAAGGCTCAAATTTAAAAAGCTTTCCACCCCAAGCACTGTGCCTGCAACTAAGCAAAAGGGAACTCACCAGTATTGCCAACATAAGGCAGATATTCTTTGCATCCTTCCAGAATATATTGCGTGGAGTGACTTTTGCAAAGTGCAACAGTCGACTAAAGAATACTAAAAGACATAAGACCTCAACCAGTGAAGTGGCCTGGAAACAGAAGGAAAGTTAAGAAAACTAACTGACTTTGCTGAATTGTCCTATTATTTTTCCCCTAAACACTGCAGGTATCAGCAGAGACCCTAATAAACATATATTGACAGAAGAGGTTTCTCTGCTTGTATAGCTATACCATATTGCCAACCACCATTTTGGAAATCAACAAAAAGCTCTCCTATTGGAAGAGCTGCATCCACAACAGATGTTTTGTCCACAGACCTGCATCAGCAGAAGCACAGGCTTTTCATATTTATAGCCAACACAGCTGTGCCCACAAAACTGTCATGAAAACCTGCACTCCGGCTGTGAGACCAAGGTAGGAAGGAATGCATCAGATGGGTTCTCTGTTGGGAATTTGCTGTTTACTCATCTTATTTCAAGCCCTCCCTCACCCACCTTGTATCTATACTTGCAGCTCACAGTTAAATAGTCATATCTCTAGGTTGTATAAAAAAGCCACAAAGATAACTGATATTATTTATTGTT